GTGTACTTTTTTGAAGCGTAGAATACCCACCAGGTGTTACTTTTTTAGCCATCGCAAAAAAACTACATTCTTGTACGGGGCATTTGTTCCGCTCCGACCTCAACTGTTGATCAGTCCTCACCAAGGTGTCCTTAGCGTAAGGCTCACACACTTACAGTTTTGACTGCGTGAGCGTATCTGGCGCGTTTTTCTAGCCTGAATGAATTTGTGTGAGGCCGTTTTGTAGCACACACAGACACGCAGTTCGGGCATGGCACTAATTTGAGCCCGAGCTCGAGATTACATGAGAACAGAACGGATGTAAGAGAATACTCCGCTTGATGTTGCTCAAACCTCCATCATGAAAGGAGAGAGGAGCGATACGCTTTATTTTGAAAACATTTCAAAATTTTTAACAAGCAGGTCCTCCATTTATCGTGGATAAAATTAAGCGCAGATGCTACGTAACGGCGGGAGATTACAAAAATGCATGATGGACGAACACTGTAATTGCCAACATCATGCCGAATCGTCCTTCGTTGGGTCGTGCGAATGGAGAGCTACGTAAAATAGCGACTGAGTTTCCAAGGCCCGCACCATAAACTACTTCACATTCAAATCACTACCTCCCTTTTGGTGTAATGCATTTGACGAGTTAGGCAGCGTTGCTTTCCAAAACACGTAAGTTTACTTAAGTAGCATAGTTTGTTTGATACCACATTCATAAGTAGAAGTGTGTTTGTAGTCTGTTTACGCGCCCCTGTCCGGTCATTGCGGGTCAACCACGAACTTTCACATTTTTTTGGTGCAAAGCCGTGTAGTTTCCTGGCACAATCATTTGGTGGTCGGCTAGACCGTCGTTTGGTAGCCGCATCTCTTACAGCTGCCTTGTGTGTGCATGTGTGGTTATAATTTCTCTTGACGGCGATGAAAGCGTGCCCAGTTTTGGCAGCACCGGCTATCGTGTTACTTTCGTAATCTTTACGCCTGACAGTGTCAGCGTGCTGCAACAAGTTTTCACGGCCTGCGTGTGCCGGACGTTTGCAGCGTCACTTGTACTTTAGTGAACTTTTATGCCAGATTTGGCATCTGCAGTATCTTCGAAGGTTTCCTGTTTACTGTTGTCGCGCTGGTGGGCTGTCAGCTTTGCGGCCGACATGCGCGTTTAGACCCTGTGATTGTCCGGCCAAATGCTTATGAGACTGATGCATCCCAGCGTCAGCAAAACATTCCTTTTCAACCCATACGTACTCTTACTTATGGCGGCTTTTACAACCGCTTTTTACAAACTCGAACTAAATCCTTCATGTAAATATTTTATCTGATATACATCAGGTACTGCTGAATAACCGCGTAATATTCACAAGACCCCAACCACGCACTCAGTAATATAAAAAAATGTGATTCCTTATCATACTAAGTAAGTGTTACCTGAACAGCCCAAACTGTTTGTTTCTAGAGCAGAACAGGGAATCAGAAAACAGAGCATGTTAGACGTGGGGGAGGGGGAGGCACTAATGAGCCGAACTCCTTATAGCTGCGTTATACAGCGGCAAAGGATCGGCAATACACATGTTCATGGGTTTTTAGCTTGTACGTATGCCGTTGTTTCTTGATAGAAGCGAAAAGACCTATTGTAGGAAGTCTTTGAGAAGGAGAGGTGATCTTCGGAACAATTATTTTTATTTGCCTGCGCTTTCGAATTTTACTCAAACACATCTTAATGGACAGTTACAGGTACGTAATAATGGTCTGACAGTATCTAAGTCATTAGCAGGTCTCGCATTCAGCATCGGTGGTCTGGGTGGCTTACTCGTTCTTACCCGAGTCGTTGATTGCCTCAATTTCCTCGCTGGTGTGGTTTAGCGATGCCCCTCCTCTTGACTTCGATCCTATGCGGAAACGGCACATATTAAATGATGTTACTACTAAGTATAGCATTCCTTTGATGTTAGATGTATAAATATAACTACAAAGGAGGATATCGGGCCAAAAGCATTTTGATGTAGTCGTTTGTATACTTCATATCGATAGAAAGCATACCATTTTGCTTATTTTTAATTTTCCTTGCAGACATTGTTCTAACATCAAATCGGCAGATCAGCGATTCGGGTGGAGCCGTCTCCTGTCCCCAAAACGTCCTTCCCGACTCACCCAGCGCTGTGAGTCAGCCTGGGTCTTCTGCGCTCTCGTTCTCCATTCCATCGACCACGGTTAAGGTCTCGAAAGGCCGGATATTGAGCAGGTGTGTACTAATTATTATGTCTTATCCCCATATTGACATATTTTTGGACAATTTACCATGCTGAATATTGCAAAGGAATTGCAGATTTGCTTAATTAACAGTGCGACAAGACTTGGGTCGTATGTTACAATCTGCTTTTCGTATGCCTTTTAAGTTTGTCGTGGGTAATCAATTTACAAAAATTATCCATACTTCTGGGCGATTATTTCTGAATTCCATGGCAGCGAAGCACATTAAAACAGAAAAGCGTGTTTGATAAAGAGGGAAAGATGCTTTATTTTGAAAGTCTCATTCCAAAATGTTCAGGAAGAAGTCATCCATTTGCCGTGAATAAAATTGGACACGTAAATCATATAACACCAGATCACAAACGATGCACAAGAGCCCAAGACTGCAATTGCCAACAGCACCGGTGAATCAGTCGCAAAATTTACTTCAGATTTTCTTCCTGCAAACCGGTGCTAGCTTAGTGTGCAGATGACCCTATTGTAGTCCGAATAAGGAGAGGTGAACATCGGTTTATAATGTGTAAGATGGGCCAGCCGAACAGAGCAGAACAAATGGCGGCTAAATTCTCAAAGCTCACTTTCGAATTCCAAAAGATACAACGTCTGTTTTTAGCCTTCTCGTTGCAAGATAAATACTTCCACAAGTGTTTGGACATTTGATGAATGCATGCTCGAGTTCGCATAGACGTTAGCGTAATCACCATAAGGGGACACTGTGCGACAATTCAGCTGCTCCCCTTACCGCCGATTTCACGACACGCATCGAAGGATCCGCATGGTCTGTTACTTTTGTTTTCAGCTCCGGTGGTAGTGGTAGGCTTTCGTTATTGTCCAGGACATCGTCTTTTCACGAATGGAAGCGAATATGCGTACCTCAGGTTCTTGTTGCCTAGAAGAAAAAGGCTCGATCACTGGGACAGCACTTGTATTAGTCCGAGCTTCCGCACTCGTACAGGAGGCCATCTTCAGAAAAAAAATTTGAGTACATTAAGTATTGACATGTTTTTTAAGGCAGCTACGAGCAAATCTGGGCTGGGGAGGGGGGGATAGCATTCGCGATTGGTCGAGTCCACTTCCACTTCGTCCCACTATGTCGTCGCGGCGTACGACCTTGGCGTCATAAGGGGTTTCCTTGGGGTCGTGACGTGCGTCCTCGAACATGAACTGGGCCGTGCTTCTTGGTCGCACGAACGGAGGGCATAATAAAAAGGCGGTATATCCACGTGTCTGTTGATGGAGTTGGAGTCTGACCCCCAGACATCCAGTAGTTCTCCCTCCTTATTACTGACTCGTGCCCTTATCAGCGTGCCCGCAAAGTTGAATTCGTGGCTTTTCTCTAGAGTGTGGATAGCGATCTGGGGCAGTGGATCGCCTTTCCGCACTGCCGTTTTATGCTCCGTTATTCGTGAGCTAAGTCGTCACCCGGTCTGCCCTGTATAATGGCAAGAACGGCCGCGACATAGCACTTGATAAACAACTCCAGACTGCTCACC